AGTAACAAAGACAGCTCTAAAAAGGACATCCAGAGAGCAACACCACTTACGTCAGCCATTCTCACTGTTCCCACTATCCAACACGGTATCTTCCTTTGCTAGCTTTGTCCTAAAATGATAGTAACAGGACTTGAAATGATTGTAGTAAGCATTAACATATGCCAACTAGTTGTATGCCTTCCAGTAGATTCTAATTCATTGTTAGCCTAGATTTTCTAATATTTAGGTATAAACCTAACCAGAAAAAGACCTGTATAAAGAAAACTACAGAACACTCTTAGAAGAAACCAAGAGATCTACACAAATAAAAGAATACTCCATGTTCATGGAGAGGAAGGCTTAGTATTGAGGAAATGTCAATACCATCCAAAACTTAAAGCCAAACTCAATGAGTGACATGGAGTGGATGATACCCACTCACAGTGACCCTATAGGACAGGGTAGACTGCCTCTGTGAGTTTCCCAGACTGTTTAACTCTTTACAGTACAGTAAAAGTAGAATGCCTCACCTTTCTCCCGAGGAATGCCTGATGGTTTCTAACTGCTCACCTTACACTACAGTTAGCAGGTCAGCACAGAACTGCAACACCACCAAGGATCCTATAAGATGTAAAGCAATCGATAAGTGGAATGCAATTCTGATCCAAATCCCAACTTCCTTCTTTAAAGAAATGGAAAAGCTAATTACTTCATATAGAGAGGGAAAAGCCCTAGGTAGGATAAACTAGGATAAACAGAGAACTCTTTAACGAGTACAACAGAACAATGTAGGAGGGCTAAGATACCCAACTCAAAACCTAGTACAAATCCACAGTAGTCCCAACTGCCTAGGAAAGGACAAACGGCCGGACAGACAGGGAGGCAGAGGGCGGGTGCTGCTCCCTTATCACAAAGTCAAAATGTGTATGAACTGTTGAATGGAAAGCCAATTTGCTCTGTATATTTTCACCCAAATCACAACAATAAGTTTAAAATATAAAAAGCAAAACTGAAAACTGCCCGGTTCTGGTACAATGATACACAGACACTGGAACAAAATAGAAAGTCCAGGAATAAATGCATCCACCTACAGGCACCTGATCTTTGATAAAGGGCCAAAAAACATTAAATGGGAAAGAGGGTCTCTTCAACAAATGGTGCTTGCACAACTGGATCTCCATCTGCAGAACGAAACAGGGCCCACACCTTCCCCAATGTACAAAGACGTACTGAAGATGGCTCAGAGACCTACATCTAATAGGACAAACTCAGGGGCCCAACTCCAAGGTATACACATCCCATCCTAACCAAAGAAACACACAAAAAGACAAAATAGATGATTGAGACCTACTAAAATATGACATATGTATCAAAAGACAAGAGTAAAAAGAGCTCATCGTTAGCAATGACACAGAAGAGGGACTAATCTTTAAATTTATAGAATACTGCAAGTTCTCAATAACGAAGAATAATCCAATTAAAAAGTGGGCAAAAGACAAGAAAAGTTCACCAGAAAATGCATTCAGGTGGCTAACAAAGACACTGAAAAAAGAAGGGGGGAAAAAGCTCAGTCATTAGCTATTCAGAAGATGCAAATTGAAACAGCCATAAGTTATCATCTTACATTGACAATGACAGCTCACTAACAGTAAACAAACGCTGGAGGGGGCATGGAAAGATTGAAACCCTCATACACTGCTGGTGGTCCTGGAAACAGGTACAACTGGTGTGTAAAGATATAACACACTAGCTACCTGGTGGCGTTAAGTATCTGGTTGCTAACCCGAGGTCTGCAGTTTGAAACCACAAACCTTTTTGAGGGAGAAAGACAGGGCTAAATTAGGGCTTTCTACTGCTATAGTCTCAGAAACTCCCAACAGCAGTTCTACCGTCCTACGAATTGGCATCGATTTGATGGCTGTGAAAGCTTGAGGGGTTTTCTTTTTTCGGTTTCAAAACTAGGAATGGAAATCCCACACAAACAGATGTATGCACTCCCATGGTCATGGCAGTACTGTTCACAACAGCATCAAGTTGCAAACAGCCACAATGCCCATCAAAATGGCCAAAGAAACTTGGGTACACACACACAATGGAATACCATGCATCATAAAAAGATATTAAATTGGTATTCCATGATGCACACCTTTCCAACATAATCGCTGAAGACAAATGTGTGCATAATCATGTGGTGAAGAATGCTGATGGTGCCCGGCTATCAAAAGATGTAGCGTCTGGAGTCTTAAAAGTTTACAGATAAACAAGCAGCCATCTAGCCCAGAAGCAGCAAAGCCCACATGGAAGCAGCACACCAGCCTGTGTGACCATAAGGTGAGGAAGGGACCAGGTACCAGGCATCAAAGAACAAAAAATCCTATCATTGTAAATGAGGGGGAGTGCACAGTGGAGACCCAAAGCCCATCTGTAGTTAACGGGATACCAGAAGGGTTGCGGGGAGGAGACGAGCCAGTCAGTGTGCAGTATAGCAACAATGAAACATACAACTTTCCTCTAGTTCTTAAATGCTTCCTCCCCGCCACTATCATGATCCCAATTCTACCTTACAAATTTAGCTAGACCAGAGGATGTACACTGGTACAGATATGAACTGGAAACAAAGGGAATTCAGGACAGATGATCCCTTCAGGACCAGTGCTGAGAGTGGCAATTCCAGAGAGTAGAGGGAAGGTGGGGTAGAAAGAGGGAACCAATTATAAAGATCTACATATAACCTCCTCTCTGGATGACAGACAACAGAAAAGTGGGTGAAGGGAGGCATCAGACATTGTAAGACATGACAAAATAATAATTTATAAATTATGGGTTCATGAGGGAGGGGAAAAATGAGGAGCTGATACCAAGGGCTTAAGTGGCGAGGAAATATTTTGAGAATGATGAGGACAACGAATGTATAAATGTGCCTGACACAACTGATGTATGGATTGTGAGTTGTATGAACCCTCAATAAAACGATTTAAAAAATATATTAAAGTACAAATATATGAGACCATTAGTGTAAGGACAAACACCAAGACAGACACAGGTATCTGTCCTCAGGTCATGTTAAACAACATGGTGGTGTAGCTGATGCTTATGATAATTCTGTCATTCCCCTATTTCTATTTCAAAACCACTTCAGAGGTAGCCTCACCTTAACGGGGCTGGTTTTTTAGGGGGAGAGGGACAGAGCCAAAGTTTCTGTTTTATAGCATTGTCCCATGGTCACCTCAAGTTAAGACACTCTCACTGGTGTTCCGTGAATTTCGATGGGAAAGGTGATCTGTCTGCCTCTGAGGTGCTTTCACCTGTTAACATCACTTACTGGAGAATCTGCTCAGTATTATCTTGCTAATCATGCATTATTTGGTTCAAAACTCTTTCGAATTTGCCCAGTAACGGGCAATTTTAAAACTATCATACACTTGCTATTTTCAGACTTTTGCTTGCTGTGTCTTAGTCCTGCATAGTTCTTGGTGAACGCAATTGCCTTAGTTCACCCTCATTGCTTTCTTAAACCGTGCCTGTTTTTAGCCCACTTAAGTGAATATTCTATGTACTTGTCTAAAAAGCTGTCCGAGGAGTCTTTTCCTTTCCTCAGTAGTACTTTAAGGTCTTTCGGTTATATTAATGGCTAGATTAATACCAATTTCTCTGGGTTATTTTTCAATGAGCTGATAATCCTGCCTCTAAAGTGGACCAGGGACATATATAATATGCACTTTAAATATATACATGGACTTTGAGCTCACACTAATAGTAAGCCCTAATTTATTAACTGGTTCTTAGAATGTGGCCCTGTTCAATACTGGCCTCTAGGAAGTGATTGCTGAAGGGCACTTTAGCAAAGTGGACTAAAGATCTACATTGCCCAGCTATCAGAAGTTAGCATCTGGGATCTTGGATTTCTTAAAACAAGCAGCCATCTAAGTGAGGTGTTGGCTAAGTCCACATGGAAGGACTGGTGAGATCCATGGTTTGGAAACAATAAAACAACATGAAGATTAGTAAATTCTGAGCAATGTTTGCAGAAGGCTATGGCTGACAGTGAAAGCCCCAAATTCATTTGCAGAGCCCTTTCATGGATTAAGTCTCCACTGAATTCCTTTGGACAACTGATTAGGGATGTGGAATAGTCTTATCCTCAAAGAGGACACTAGAAAGTAGATTACTGAAGATATAGTTCGTCAAAAGTTAACATATGTTCATTTATCCCCCGACCCATTTGTAATTTGTTCTAGTTTACCTTCTGCCTTTCTCTGGCTTAAGGTTTTCTGTGTTCTACTTTGTCATCATTTTGGGTTTTGGTACAATTTTCTTTTTATGAAATCCAGGGTAGAGAATCCACGGAGACAGTATCTAGATTAATAGTTCCTCAAGGTTATGACAGAGGATGTTGGGAGGTAATGGGGAGCTAATAATTATGAGTACAATAATGAAGAAAATGTTCTAAAATGGATAATTGATTATAAATCTCTTTAATATCTTTAAACACTGAATTGCATGGTATGTGGATTACAGGCCAATAAAACTGTTAAAACAAACTTACAAAAAGAAGTTTCCTGCACCAACCAGGAAACATACTGATTTCTTGACTGATAACAACCCTGTAAAAATCATTTGCCTTCCAAGCTCAGAGATTCTGCCGACACTGTCTCCCTTGCAGGTAGTTATGCAGGGACATCCCTGCTCAAGTCTCTTTTCATAAATGCCTTACACAAATTTGACTTTCCACTTTTTATCCACACCCCTCCCAGTTCCTCCACATGCTGTGATTTTTTTTCCTTCTTTCTCTCACAGTGGCATGTTTCAAAAATACATAATTGGGAAAAAAATATAAGATCTTTGACTTGGTATTGAGTAGTCATAAAAGTACATAAACATTTAACACTTCCAGGGTCACCAGCATACATCTAAGTATTGCTTACGAAAATTTAAACCCTGTCACTGCGTGCCCACTCCAAATTTTCCATTACAGCAAACAAAACCAAATGCATGACACACTTCTGTAAAATACTGCAATGCAAAATTAACAAACCATTTATTTTTAATAGAGTCCAGGGGAAGAAAAACAAGGTGAATAGAGGTACACAGACTAAGTGATCTCTCTGGACCAGGTGGTAGGAGGGGTCAAAGAAAAACAAGACAAAAAATATCACCCAAGATTGGTAAAATGGGGCCAGAAACCACTGAAAAATAACTTCATGCAATATGTTTATGACTTTTAAAAGAGGTTATATGCTTGCATTGTAAACAATGTTCATCATACTAACTTAAAATCTATAATTAAAAATCTATTCAATAAATCTAATGAAAATCATTCAGACAGCATTGTGAAGACAAATATATTTTTAAAATATTTTAATAAGCATATTCAGAATGGCAAAAAAAGGAGATGGGAGGGCATTATCTTACAGTGCAAAAGTACTATGCATAAATTTTAAACATCTAATTCATAATTTTAAATGTCTATTAAATATTAGTTCAAATATATTTTAAAGCTCAACAGATGTGTGTTGAACTGAATTGCAGGTTCTGTACTCCATTTGAAGACACATCAGGACCATTCCAAAGGAAAATGATGGTGCTCTGCTGGGGATAGAATTGGGGGTGAGGGAGATGAACTATTAACAAAGTCTTCTTTTCCCAGTTCATCAAGAGTTATGACATATACTAAATCTTAAGCAAATTAAACTCATGGTATTACTGCAGTTTTATAGTGTGATGCCCTATCAAGGTGTAGTGGTTGCATTATGGAGAACAAATTACTGTAGGAAATACCTGTATAAACACAAAATGCTAATGAATATTTGATAATCTGGGCATTGTGTAATATCACAGTGGAATGTCCTTCATTAGGCATACTTTCAAAAGCAAAACTTCTCAACATGTACACCTGTGCCTTATTTGCAAACTTGCCTGAGCATTGACTAGAAATATTTTTGTAATGTTTGCAAGAAGTTCATAAACCAGCAAACGAAATGCATCTTTTAAATAACGTGAAAATGGCATCTCTTATATTGCAACAGTCTGAAGAGCACAGCACCAGCATCCTTTTGAAACATTTCGACACACCATCTTTGATACAGAGATAGGATACTTTGGATTTCCATAAAATTTGACATTTGATTTCAAAAATGGATTGTGATAATCTGCTAAAACTACTGCCATTCTGGATAAATTAACATTTTAAGCAATACAAAACAAAACAAAAAACAGCTTTTCAACACTTTCACCCAAAACTTTGATTTACTTGGATAAGTGAATGTACATTGTATGAAGTGTTGCAAAGTGGCTCTTAACACTGTTTGGGGAAAATAAGTTGTTCACATCAGTGAAGGGAAGCGGTTTGAACCTATCTGAGTAGTAATACTTCCTGGGGCTAATGCCTAAACCATAATTTCGCAGTGCAAGCTCATTCAATCGTATTAGGTGAGCCATTAAAAACAAACCACAGAAGTTTTCTCTTAAAAAGGCAATGGCTCTTGAACTGATGGCTGAAAAGATGAACAGATAGAGAAGCATTTGGTGTATGTCTGTGTGATAAAAACAAGAATAGTTAATCTTTTATAAAAGTTCAGATATAGGTTGGTCTATCAGCTGTATAAAACTACATTTTTTAATAAGGTTTTGCACTAAAAATAAAATGGCACTCTTGCAAGGCTACACTAATAAATAATCCAATTTGTAACCAAACATAGCAATGGATGTTGTGCAACTTATAATTCTTTTAAAATTTGTACTTATAAAGACTTTAGACCTAAATTTTTGAAATAAACTATCAATTCTGAAAAATAGGATTGTACCTGAAAAGGTTGGAAAAAATTTCTAAATTCCTTACTTTACATGAAATCAATATTGTTGCCTGCCAATGTTTACTCCTTGTGGGTGCCAATATCTAAGTCTCACTTGCTTGACCTTTTCCCGTTTAATGCAAAAATGGAAATTTTTTATGATATAAAAATAAATTAACAGAATTCTGGTCAGCATGATACATTCAAACACTTAAGCTGGCATTAAACTCGTCTTGCTTCAAAAATAACTGAAAATTATAGCAAATGTAAAACAAACTCTACAATCATGCTTAATTTCAGAATTCTTAAACTGTGTCTTCTAAAGTAGAAATTTGGAGGAAAAAAATTTTTTTTCACAAATCTTTTGAATGTGTCCACCTGGATAAGAAATATGACTTAAGTTACTACACAAACACTTAAAAATTCGTTAGAAAAACCTTAGCAAAATAAAATGAAAGCTGACAGACTTAGAATATCAATTGCTTGCATAAAAGTTGACCAACTGTACAAGTTAAGAAAATTATACAAGCTTTTGTATTAAGAAAGGACAGCTCAGTCAAGACATATGTACTGTAAAAATCTTTCAAAGGCTACAAAGAATCTGGAAAAATACAGAATGTATTTCTTAAGCCCAGATAAGAATATGGAAAGACATCATTGATGTCAACAATTTTACATATACAAACCTGACTTGGTTTATTTTTAAACTTCTATAATATAAAAAAATCATGCTAGCATAACTTTCAGGATTCACAAGGGTTTCCCTTAATGAGGGCACTCAATTTGTATGGTGAGAAAAGGTGTCTAATTTAAGTCAAGAAACTCAGAAAAACTGTTAAGTAAAAATCTGAAGGTAAGGTTTTTCCCCCGCTTCATGAAATTACTCAAAAAGTACCTTGCCAAGTTAAATTTTATACAATTAGTACAGCAAGTGCAAAGGTACATTTAAAATTCAAATTTACTTAAGTATTTGTTATAGCCTTAAAGGTTCTTTGATAGTTTTAAAGTAAAAAAAAAAAATCGGCAAAAGACAATTATGAAATCTTATTTCCTAAAGTTAGGCTTAATTCAAATTTTAAACAGCTGTTTCAAGGAAATTAACTTTAAGGTAACCCATCAACCCTGAAAATTTTTGTCACATCAGGATTTACTCCAAAGAAAGTAAAATAGGTCAAAAATTTAGTCATCTACGTTTTCAAGTTCCTCCAATCTCCCATGCGAGCTTGCTTCCTGGAAAAATTCAGAAGAACCTGGACTTTCTTTCCCATTGCTGTTTACCCTTCGCCTTTTAGCAGGTCTCTCACTTTTTTCATCAAAATCATTCTCATTTCTTGCAGTCATATGGGCAAGCTTTGGGTCAATGGTAAGGTTATCTGTTTCATAACCATTAGTATCCATATCTGTATGAAGTGGCCTTTTACTTCCACTGGTTGGTCCATTAATGTGTGATCCTTCAACTTTTACGTCTTCTTTGTTTAATATTTCACCTGGTCCATTAGATGAGACACCTAAGTTGGAAGAGATACAGAAGAAACTGACACAAAAAGTCTGAATTTGTACAGTATTATAAAACAGTTTTCATCAAGGAAGTGGTATGTAAGTGTATAAAAATAGAATTCCAGCTGTGTTGTGACCATAGACTGTTAGGGACATACTCTGTACCTCAGGCTCATAAATGTGAGGAAAACATCAAATTTCATGAGCTTTTGTGACAATTTAATATGGAAATATAAGTTAAGATCTAAGATTGGAATTTGGAGTACATTCAGCATTTATTATTATATGACAACAATAAATACTGGATCCAGCAACCTAAGTAAGGTGAATTCAGCAGTTATCTATAAATGAAACCAAATTCACTGCCATCAAGTCAGTTCGGACTCATGGTGACCCTACAGGCAGGGCTGAACTGTGGCTAAGGGTTTCCAAGACCGTAACTGTGTATCTTAGTAGCTGCTGGTGGTTTCCAGCTGATGGTCTGGCTGTTATAGCAGGCCAACAATGGCAGTTTGAAACCTCCCCGGTAGAAAGATGAGTTTTCTACTCCTGTAAACATTTAGTCTTAAAAACCCACAGGGACAGTTCTATCCTGCCCTTTAGGATTGCCATCAGTCAAATGGACTGAATTGTGTTGAGATTGGCTTTGGTTTGACATATAAATTATCCAGAAGTTTGCAAAAGGTCTATAATGTTCTAAAACTATGTAAAAACAATGTTGGTTTTTTTCTTATGGCTTAAGGTTTCTACTGTCACATAAAGTCAAGACTTCATGATTTTTGTATGTTTAATGAAAACTTTTCAGGGATGGGACTTAAGAGCAAAGATCATACACTATTATTGGTCTAAATACAATTAAATAATCTGCCATGTTATGTTAACACATTAAGCTTTACTGCCCAGGTGTACACTTGAAGATGCTAACTAGTAGAAACAAATTATTTGTTAACAGGTGAGAAAAATAAGGGTATAATTATTTTAATAAAAGCTAGAAATAGCAAAACGGTCACAATAGAGCTGACCAAAAAATGAAACAGTATACACATTGAAGGAGCCTGGGGGTGCCACGGTAGGCTGCAAAACAAAGGTCTATCGTTCACACTCATCTAGAGGTTCTATGGGCCCAAAGACCAGGAGATCTGCATCCTTTAAGACTGCAGCCAAGGAATTCTATGATGCTCACCTTCCCGACACAACCGCTGAAGACAAAGCAGGTGAATAAGCAAATGTGGTGAAGAAAGCTGATGGTGCCCGGCTATCAAAAGATATAGCATCTGGGGTCTTAAAAGCTTGAAGATAAACAAGCGACCATCTAGCTCAGAAGCAACAAAGCCCACATGGAAGAACATATCAGCCTGTGTGATCACGAGGTGTCGAAGGGATCAGGTGTATAAGGCATCATCAGAACAAAAAATCTTCCAATAGTGAATGATGGGGGGAGTACGGAGTGGAGACCCAAAGCCCATTAGTAGGCCACTGGAGACCCCCTTGCAGAGGGGTCTCAGGGAGGAGACGAGCCAGTCAGGTGCAATGTAGCAACGATGAAAAATACAACTTTCCTCTAGTTCCTAAATGTTTCCTCCCCACTCCCACTATCATGATATGGGAGATACCTTGCAAGTCTGGCTAGACCAGAGGATGTACCCTCGTAGACAGGAACTGGAAATACAGGGAATCCAGGGAGAGTGATCCCTACAGGACCAGTGGTGTGAGTGGGGATACTGGGAGGGTAGAGGGAGAATGGGTTGGAAAGAGGGAACAGATTACAAGGAACTATATGTGACCTCTTCCCTGGGGGACGGACAACAGAAAAGAGGGTGAAGGGAGACATCGGATAGGGCAAGATATGACAAAATAATAATTTATAAATTATCAAGGGCTCATGAGGGAGGGGGAACAGGGAGGGAGGGTAAAAATGAGGACCTAATTCCAGGGGCTTAAGCGGAGAGGAAATGTTTTGAGAATGATGAGGACAATGAATGTACAAATGTGTTTTACACAATTGATGTAAGTATGGATTGTGATGAGTTGTATGAGGCCCTAATAAAATGATTAAAAAAAAAAAAGACTGCAGCCAAGGAAAACACATGGGCACTTTTACTTCCTTGTATAGTCTCTGTGTACAAAAAGGACGCAAAGGACACAACAATGTAAAATACAGAACAAGCTTCTGATGATCATTAAAATTTCATTATTTTAAATCTTTACCTATATAAATGCGTTCAGCCCATGACTGTACCTGGGGATCACATATAATCTGACATTCTGTACTAGAAGGCCAAAAGAGCTGGATGGGATTCTGAGTAGGTGATGAATAATCACAAGATTTCAAGGCACAAACTAAAGACCCTTACAAAATGAAAATGGGTCGGGCAGTTCCTTTCCTTGAAAAACCTGGAAACAAGTGGTTTAAAAAAATAAAAAGGTAAAGAAATAATTTAACAATTTCTTTGGTGTTGTGAACTAACAGGAGAATACAAATAGCTACAATTCTGTCTTCTTAAGTTTCCACTTTGCCCAAAGGTCAGAATCTCTGCTACTTCAAAATGGATGTGGTTGGTATTAGCTGTCATGTCAATGAATCTTCTTGGACCAGGAAATGGCTAAGGGTGGGTCTAAATTTCTTTTGAGCTTGAAGGGGAAGCAGTGAGGGAAAGAGGGGGCTATATCAAATGTACAAAGACTACCCACTACTGCAGTTCCTGTTTGCGACCGAAAGTCAGATGTTTTATACCATCATTCGTCATGTGTGTGGTGGGGAGGGGTGAACACAGGCAGGCTGGACGAACTCATCAATTTCCACCTGAAAGGAGTGGGCTTATTTCTTTTCTGCTTGGCAAGTGTTTTGCTCAGGAAGATCATCCTAATTCAAGTAGACACCAAAGTACTATCTGCCAAGGTCTTGCTAACTATTAGTAAAGTGCTGGTTCACTGTATAAGGGGGCTTCAAAAAGTTATGGGAAATTGCATTATCTTTTCATTCATTTTTTTCCATGAATTTTCCCACGCCTATCTTAAATGCTTTAAGTTAGACCACTTTCTCCACCTTAAACACATTAGTATGGTCTTTCTTAGGAAGTAAAATCACGGGACTATTTCTACAGCATTTTCCTGAAAAAGTATTATCATCTTTCAAAGTACTGCACAGGCATCTTTGTACTTTTTATGTGAAATAGCTGCTCTTTACAGGAATATTTATATGCATGTATCCCAGTGAAGCAAAAAAAATATATACTATTCAAAAGAACAAATTCCTTAAAAGAAATGACCACTGTTAATTGTACAAGACTTTATTAAAGATATTTTCTAGTGATGTCAATGGAAATTCTCATTACTTTATATTATGTATGGCTGATATATACCAAGGGACTGGAAAAATTCCATTATCTTTTAATTACATTTCCCCACAAACTTTTTAAAGCCCCCTTGGATGCATACTACTATTATGTAAATTTCATCTGGGCATTTACAATTATTTTGAGTTCTGCTTTGGAATTTTAAAAGAAACTCAAACTGACTTCCCAGGTCACTGACAGAAAAGCACCTTTCATATGGGGGAAAGCAGCAGTGTTTCTTTGGTTGCTTACCATTTTGATTACTATTGCTTATCGTGCCATCCTCTTTCTCGGACTGGCTGTTACTACTGTTTGAGGCAGTTGGAGGGGGGGATGGTGCTCGACTGGAAGCAGCACTTTCACTTTCATCTAGAAGCCGATCCATGTAATCCCTTGAAATCAAGAACAATATGAACCAATTATTTTTTCATATTAAAAATGCTGAAAATTAAAATTAGTTAAGGTTAAGTTTAAATAGCTTCAATTAACAAGTGTATCGAATTTTCACTTACATTTCACACCAAGATAAGAACACTTAAATGGAAAACCTCCTGTGGTTATATGTAAGGGGGGAAAAAAAGCAAAGGCTAGCAAATTTTAGAAACCTATAGAAAATTATATGTTTCAAGTGGTCTAACAAAAACCAGAGCATCTGCAAGTGAAGAAATTGGGGTTCTGAACAGACACAAATTGGAATTATAAAGCCTACTTGAGGAACAACCTGATAGACAAACTTGGATCTAATGAAAAAGGAAAACCATTTCTGTAAAGCTGGACACCTTCAAAATTACTGTTCTGGCCCAGTGTGAAGGAGCCCTAGTAGAGTAGTAGTTAGGCATTGGCTGCTAACCACAAGGTCAGCAGTTTGAAACCACCAGTAGTTCCTTGGGAGAAAGAGGAACAGGCTTTGATTGAAGTTAGTCTGGGAAACTCGTAGGGGCTTATCTTATCTTATCTTACAAGGGCATTATGAGTCAGAATAAACTCAGTGGCAGTGACTATGGTGTTTTGTTTTTTTTCCCCTGGTTATCCTGACGTGAGATATAATATGCTCACTAAGTACTTGGACTTATCTGTTGGTTTTACAGTATTTCATTATACGTAAGCTTATTTCATCCCTCAGACGTTGTTGTAGTGTGGTCTGTGAAGAGTGTTAAGTGACACTGAGCTGCAGTTAAACATCTGAGTTTAATACTTGTTTCTCTGAGGTTTAGTATTTTTCCTATAATACGCAGATAATCGCACATTATCTACCCACTGGGTTGTTTGATTAAATGTGTCTGCAAATGTTTTGTAAACTCTAAAGTGTCATTAAGTCACTAGAATAAGAGAGCCAGTGAACTGTTGTACATGGGCTGGTCACCTGCTTGTTCAAGTATGTTTAATTAGAACATAATCACACCCATCTGATAAATTATTGTTTCCTGCGATAACAGTATAGAAATTTCAACAGGTATCTCACTACCTGCAAAGCCTAAATATTTATTTGCCAATTCCTAAACTAGAATAAAACAACCTTGGTGACACAGAGGTTAAGCACTTGGTTCCTAGCCAAAACATCAAAGTTCAAATGTACCAGTCCCTCCACCAAGAAAAAGATGTTCCATAGAGTAAAATAAACTAAATAAAATACAAATGAGAAACCCAGCTCCTTGCCGTAGAGTTGGTTCTGACTCAGAAGAGATCCTACATAGGGCTTCAGAGGCTGTAGAACTCTTCATGGACACAGACAGCCTTAGCCACCCCCTTCCGGAGCCCAATCTGCTGGTCTGTTTAAACTGCTGACCTTGGAGTTTAGCAGATCAATGCTTATCCAACAGCACCACAAGGGGAGAGGGAGGGAACAGCCTTGGACACTTTATAAAGTAGTTTCAATTTTGTCTTAGACGGTGTCACTATGAAATCTCAATCTGTGGCAACGGCAACAGAAGCCCCTGGGTTATGGAATTATAATAAATGGAAGCATGTGGTACCTGACCTTGAGAAGTTTACAATAGTTGCTAAGAAACAAAACTAACAAACATAAAATTGAAATTAACAAATTGGATAGTGCATATTAAGCATGCTAAGAACATGCCAAAAGGACTTCACAACAAAAGATACATGAGGAGGAATTTCAGGAAACAAATTTGGTATGGTGAGAGTAGACAATGGATGTTGAAAGCCACACATAGGAAGCTGGAGTTGATTACATATTAAAGTTATTATCAATTTCTAAGTATACCTATGGTTTCATGAATGATTTAAATATATCTACACATTGATTAGTGGTATCCAGAATGTTTAGGGAAAGAGAAAGGGAGTGAGGCTGAGCCTCCAGAAGATTAGGGAAGCGCTAAGTTATGTAAAGTCAATGTATTTTTAAGTTTTTATTCTTTTTAATTCTTTGCAAGAATAAATATTGTACAGTGAAATCTATTATTTGCATACAGCTTCCAATTCTTGGAAGGAAGCAGAGAGAGGCAGCCGTAGGACCTCTTAAAGGTGTATGAGGGACCTCTTAAGAAAATCATGGAAATAATTCCATTATCTTTTCATCCCATTTTTTCTATAAACTTTTTAGAGCTCCCTCTAATGTAGAAGGAGAAAGACGAGGCTTTCTACTGCCCTAGGAAATCCACAGGGGCAGATCTACCCTGTCTTATAGGGTATGTGAGTCGGAGTCGACCTGACGGCAGGGAATTTGGGTTTTTGGGGGGGTTTGGTTTTCTTATGTAGAAGTAAATGGACAAATGTGCTTCATTCGAGTGAACACACACACGATAACCATTTTCAAAGAAAATAAGTAAGAGCCAATAACTTTTAGGGTAATGTACTCTAAACTAACATTGATTTTGACCTAATAATAAAATTCCCTATTTTTCTAAAAAAAATTATTACTGTTTTGCATAGTCACTTTAACAAGGTGCATTCAACCCCCGTGGTTGCAACAATGGGCTCACACCCAACAATTGTGAGGCTGGCAAAGGGCCAGGCAAGTGTTTGGTTCTCTTGCACATCGGGTTGATATGAGTTGGAACTGACTCGATGGCACCTAACAACATAGTCACCTAAAGGGCAACTATTAGAAAGAGAAGGATCTAAAAGCAAACCAGAAAAAGAACTCCATGACTATAGAAAACCATGCTTCCTCCCTATCTGGGAAAAACACAGTAGCAGCTACTGTTTGTTATAGAAAATATAAAACAACCAAACAGAATAAAATCTGAATAAGAAACTACAGTATTCTCAGTTTAAAATTTTTATAGGAAACACATAACTGATGTCCAGAAAACCAAGGTATTCTTACCTAGAAGGAAGGAACACCCTCCCACCACCCCTGCCTCACTTCAAATCATTACACGAGGAGATCACTATTAACTGTTAACTCTTAAAGACTAAGAGACAGATAGGTGATTACTTCTAATCTACATGAACTACAGAATACTTAACCTTAAGAGGAATAAAGGTTATAAATGTGTTTAGTTTTTACACACTATGTAGAGATTATTTAAAGAAGCTAGAATGGTTGGTGGCACATCCCTACCTAACCTGTTGCGCTTGACATCACAGAGGACCAACTAAGCCAGCCCACAACACTTCCCTTGGTGCTCCTTTCTGAAAGAGAAAAGTGAATGAACCATGGGTCTGACCCAGCATGGCAATTCTTATGTTCTTATTGTTGCCGATTGACTGTAGTCATGTGTGAACATTACTTCTGAAATAAGTGGAAAAAATAAAAGATGTTACTACTTCTTTTTCCTATAGAATAGCATGAAAATGTGAATAAATTTTAAGATATATTCTGCAGCATGGATAGTTATATTTCATTTTATTTTGTCACACATCTTAACAATATCAATAAAAATATAGAAAAAGTTAAATTATCATAAAATTTGGGATACTGCTATATATTAAATTCCACTTTATCAAGGATTGAATAATAGGGCAATGAGGCACACTATACAGTGTCCCATGATTTCGAGGCAAACAAATTCATTTATAATATTTTACTGCAGGCTTTAGAGTGTTTGACCATACACGGAAGTGACCAGCAGAGACAATGTTCAAGTCTAACCCAGGTATTTGAGAAAGAGTCAAATACGCACATAAATCAGAGTTTCAACTGCAGTTTCTTCAGCCATCATTAAGAATGTTTTTCCTGTTGCACATTGACCAAATCAGCATTTATTTTCTGCATTACACTTATTTTGTAAATAATAGGGGATAAGCAAGGATAGTATATACAGTGAACATTGCCGAGCACCAATCCAAGAGTATTTTAAAGCTAATGCATGTTAAGAAAATGAGTTAACTACTTTATGTGTTTATAGTAACAAATTGGGGGGGGGGGGCCGCGGCGTGTGAGGGAAATTTTAATCCAAAACAAGACTTAAGGAGGCTAGGAGAACTGGTTACATGAAAAAGGATATTTAAGCCATCTTGCATAAATAATGGATATAATAAGAGCCCTCATCACTGGGAGTAAGTTAAAGCTACATTACCAATTACTGAATATCGCCTTCTATAGAAGAAAGGCTTTGAGAAAACTGGGAAACAGGAAGTCATTATGTACAGGCCCTTCCCTCTATAAAAAGCTTATAACCTGATTTACTATGTATCTGTATTTTTTCCTTTATATCATGTATATCCGAATCTTATTTTGGTTCTAAGATCAAAAGTAGATCAGATAAGAAAACTGTTCATTTTTCTCCCTCCAAAACAAAGGTCCAACTAGACATATGCATGGCCCTAAAGTTTTAGAAGTTATTCTATCTTCTTTCCCCTTCAAACTGCTTTCAAAATAACATGAAATAAAAACTTCTATGGCTGTCCTATATGGCTTAAAATTTAACAAAATCATACATTCTCAGAACCGCTGTTCCCTAGATTCCCAGGGCTACCTACGCCACAGGGAAACCTCCAACTCTAACTTCAATGATATGTCTATGGTCTCAAATCGTATGCATTGTGGTTTACAATGATTTTATAAGTCTACTTATCAGTGTTCTAAGTACCCTATAAAATGAAGAGATGTTGATATATGGTATATTTAATGTAAACTTTTATCCTATTAATACAGCAAGACTCTAAAATTCCTATTCCTCTAAAGAAAAATCTGAAAGTTTAACAAAAAAACATGGCTCTACAAGAAAAAATAAACTCACGTTACACCAGGATGAAGATTATATTTCTTCTTTCCAAACCGCGTTTGCTGAGCAAAGAAATCATAACGTTCTGATTTTTTCCACATGTAATAGAATGCTACACATTCACCAACTGACCTTGTTCGAACCTGTAAGAAACAAAATACTTGCTTTTAAGATGGATTTTTTTCTTTAAAAGGAATCATGTCATGAAACACATCTGAAGATTAGATCTATATCTAGCCTGTTTTTTTAATGGGAACGTTCTTTATAACACTGCTGTTAGGTTTATGAAGTCAATTATGATTCACACCAAGCAACCCCACATGACAGATTAGCATTGTTGGAAATGACTCGATGGCAGCAGGTTTGTGGATATACGGTTTCTTCTGGAGTGTACACTTTATGGGATTAGATAGAAACCCAGGTCTCTTCACCAGTGGAGTCAATGGGTGGATTTAAACCACAACTTTCCATTAGTAGTCAATTGTTTATTCCATTGGATAAGCGAAGGCGCTCAGTTACAACACAGCAACAGCTGTGTTGAAAGCTATTCTTTATAAATTCCTATTGAGAGAAACATACAACAATGGCAACAGGGGCTGACATTCAATATTTGCTTTATAAAAGATGAGCACCACCCTAATCTACTTAAAACAAAAATACGTCCTCTCTACTGAAAATGTTTCAAAGTGGTATTCAGGTTAAAATTAATGGTAGATACAGTACACAAACACAAATCCCATTCAAAAGATTATTTTACTGCTCCTAATTGCAATCCACTCGTTTAACTTACTTTCAAGGCAGGCTAAAATATTCCACAATGAATTAAAAGCTTTCAATGCTAATGCTGTTAGGATCCCTATTGCCACTGTCATGTAATATTGCGCTGGTAATAAAAAAGGTGAGTGGTTTAAACCCATTAGCCATTCCTAAGGAGAACGTTTAGACTATCTGCTCTCATGATATACTGTCAAGGCACTCAACTATGTGGACCATAACAAACTATGGATAACCTTGCGAAGAATGAATTCCAGATCACTACATTGTGGTCCTACGGAATTTGTACATAGATCAAGAGGCAGTTGTGCACTAGGAAATGGTTTATGATCAGGAAAGGTGTGCAGGGCTGTATCCTCTCACCACACTTATTCAATCTATATACTAAGCAAATCATCAGAGAAGCCAGATTATATGAAGAATGGGGCATCAGGATCAGAAGGAGTGTTATTAACAAATGGAGATACACAGATCACATAAAACTTGCTGGAAATGAGGAAGACCTGAAGTACTTGATGAAGATCAAAACTTGTAGCCTTTGCTATGGATTACCTCTCAATGTCAAGAAGACCAAAATTCTTACAACTGGACCAATAGATAATCACTCACCCACGGCCTTAGAGTCAATGCTGACTCATAGTTACCATAGGGCAGAACTACCACTCTTGGGTTTCCAAGACTAACAATTAAAAGGAGCAGAATGCCTTGTCTTTCTCCCAGAATAGTTTCTGGTGGTTTCAAACTACTGACCTTGAGGAACTGACCTTTCGGATCAGTGCAATTCATATCATAGCGAAAAATTTGAAGTTGTCAAGGATCCTGTCTTGCTTGGATCCACAGTCAATGCTCATGTAAGCATCCGTCAAAAAATCAAAAGATGTATTGCAATTAGGTAAATTTGTTGCATAAGACCTCTTTAGAGTACTGAAGTGCAAGGATGTTACTTTGAGGACCAAGATGTGCCTAACCCAAGCCAAGGTATTTTCAACTGCTTCATATGTATGTGTAAGTTGGACATGAATAAAAATACCGAAGAAGGATCAATGCCTATGAATGGTGATGTTGAAGCCTATGGATTCTGTACTACTAAAATGGCAAATAAATGTGTCCTGGGGAAGTACAGCCAGAGTGCTTCTTAGAGGCAAGGACTGCAAGGCTTTGTCTTACATACTTTAGAAATATTGTCAGGCGAGATCAGTCCCTGGAGAAAGACATAATGCTTGGTAAAGTTAAGGGTCAACCAAAGAGGGGAAGAACCTCAGCGAGATGGACTGACAAGAGAGGCTCTAACAATGAGCTCAAGCACAGGAGTAATTGTGAGGACAGCGCAGGGGCCAGGCACTGTTTTGTTCTGCTGTGCACAGGTTAACTTTGGACCGGAACTGACTCACAGGCACCAATAACAACATCTACTCCCATAAAGATCTACAGCCTCAGAAACTTGGCACAGGGTCATTTTGAGTCAGAAATGACTTGACAGCAGAGGAATTCTGTTTGCTAAATTATTCCTGTGGCTTACCGTGTTGTACAACTCAATGTCTCCCCTCACATAATATTCAATTAAGAAGAAATGCCACATAATGTTGGCAAAAATCCCCTTTTTGATAATTAATTTGGAGAGCAGGAAAGGTTGATATAAATGAAATACTGAGAAGTTTATAAGGAGGAAATATCTGTATGAGTGTTTAAGATGAAATGCTGTCATTTTAACCCATTAATTTCTGGCTACCCTATGCCTCTGACTGCACTTAAGAACAACTGTGGTAGTGTTAAGACTTGACAAAACAATAATAATTTATAAATTATTAAGGGTCTGTGAGGGGGTTGCGGGGAGAGGAGTTAAATGAGGAGCTGATGTGGGCTCAAGTGGAAAACAAATGTTTTGCGAATGATAAGGGCAACAAATGTACAAAAGTGCTTGACACAATGGATGGATGTATGGATTGTGATGAGATGTATGAGCCCCAATAAATTTACTTGTGAATGACACCATCCTTTCCTACCATATTTTCCTTTCTTCCTCTCTGCTTTCTTTATCTTCAAAACGTAAGTCTCAAGCTGCTCTACGAATGGTAGCAATTAAGGCTTAAAAAAAGTTCTGCCTCCTAGAGCAACGTCATTCTGTATAAATTCTTTCAAGGTCATTGTACTTTACTAAAGGAGCCCTGATGGCACAGTAGCTACAAGTTGGGTTGCTAACTGCAATGTCCGCTATTTGAAACCACCAGCCAGCCGCTCCTTGGGAGCATGTTGGGGCTTTCTACTCCCATTACAGAGCTAGTCTATGAAACTCACAGGAAAGCTGTACCCTGTTCCACAGTCACTATGAGTCAGCATCAACTCAATGGCAGTGAGTTTGGTTTGTTACTTTAAGTAGCTAAACTCAAGTTCTATCCTTAAGGATTGATATTCACCATCCTAAATATTTATAAATAATCAAGGTCTTATTTTTTAATACTTATTTGGGACTAACAGTTCTTTCTTAGCCACCTAATAAGATTATAGGGTCCTTGGTGGATCATGGTTTGCACTCATATCCTAATCAAAGAGATTCAAACCTACCCAGGGGCACCTTGGAAGAAAGATGTGCCAATCTGCTTTCATAATGACTGCACTACTCCCACTGCCATCAATCTGATACAGACTCCTATAACCCCACAGACTTTCTGAGACTGTAAATCATTTTAAGACAAAAAGGGCAGTTCTGCTCTGTAACCTGTGGCATCACAAGTGTCAGATTCTCTGCAATAGCAATGGGGGGAAGGTTCTAAAGCTGAGGAGCAAAAACACTACAGCTCAGGCTGATGATGCCAACTACGTTAAATTTTTCCTTCCTGTCAGTGCAGGTGTCCTCTCCGTAGGTAAGCAATCCAGCAGAGTCTGGGTCAATAGTATTTGTATGTAAGCATGGGAACAGAAAACTGCCTGCAAGGTTCCTTTCAACATTTTGCGAATCAGAAAAATACTTGACAGTTGTTAGCATAATACATTCCCTAGCTATATATACATTTATGAGATGCTTTGGAAGCAGAAAGAAGAGGTAGAGTTACATAACACTAATTGTCTTCTTAGAGATACCTGATATCCTAAAACTCAATTTTTCTCTTACTGGTAATACGTCATCTGCCAGTTAACAAGAACCCTACTGGCACAGTGGGTGGCACACTGAGACCCTGCCTACAAGGTAAGTGGTGTGTGTCCACCATTTACTCCATGGAGAAAGATGAAACTGTCTGCTCTTATCAAGATTTAAAATACCAACAATCCAAAGGGGCAGTCGACTTTAGAGAGTCGCCATGAGTTGGAATTACCTAGAAGACAATGAATTTTTGTTTTTCATAATGTCAAATACCAAAAATGCAACTAGAGTTAATGAACATCAAAATAAAGTGTAAAATGGACTTAAAAGTTGTATGCCCTCAGTTCACTGAGTGAATATAAGCATTATAAATGTGTTCACACAAGACCCCATATACGTTCAACTTGGTTCCGAACAAGCCACCACTCCAAACTCTGAATGCTGTCTTTAAAGGAGATACAGGGAGCAACATGGAGAACATGAGGCAAAGGAGAGGAACAGCATTGAGGATCTAAGACAGGTAAGACTTCCTGCCTCACAGAACCAGCCCGAGGACCAGAGAGAGAGAGAGAGAGAGAGACAGGAGCTCCAATAGGGTTACCACTTCAGACCAGGATTGTCATGGACTCTACTGTGGTGCTTCTTTCTTGGTCACAGGGTTCTCTCTCCCTTTGTGCTTCTGAATGGCTATTGTATACTCAGTAGTATTTCACATGCCCTACTGGAATGCTCTGATCCAATCATTTGATGGAATTATCAAAAGTTGTGGATACAAGAAGCGTACTATGTAATTTCACTCCATCATATGTTTTAACATGTTTTGGTTGGAATGAATCCATGCATGTATGAACTGGAAGCCCAGGAGCACTAATTTTTACTTGCCCTCATAAATCTCACCTACTAGAATAGTTTGCTCAGGAAAGCTAAATTAAATTTTTTTTTGGTATTTTAAAAAATCATTTTATTGGTAGCTCTTATTTAACAATCTATACATCCATTGTGTACAAAACATGCTTGTACTTATGTTGCTATCATCCCTTCAAAACATTTTCTTTCTACATGAGCCCTTGGTATCATTTTCTCCCTCTCACCCTCATGAACTCTTGATAAATTATTATTTTCATATGTGACACCATTTGCTGTCTCCTTTCACCCATGATTCTGTTGTTTGTCACCTTGGATTGGGGGGGATTATACATCGATCATTGTGATTGGTTCCCCTTTTCTTTCTTCCCCCAACGACTCCCATTACAGGTCCTGAGGGGTTTATCTGTCCTAGATCTGTGTGTAGAAAGCACTCATCTGTACCAGTGTACATGCTCTGGCCTAGCCAGACTTGTAAGGTAGAAGTTGGTTCATGATAGTGGGGCGGAAGTGGGGGAGGGGTGACCAGGGGAGGCTAAATTAAATTTTAAATGAAAGCTAACTAAAACGTAATGTCTAGCTTCAACCACTCAAGACTTAAAACATACTTTAAATGTTGTTATCTTAAAGCGCTCTAAGGTTTAACAATGAAGACAAGTATAATTATAAGCTGATTAACATTCTTGGACACACACTGATGTGGTGTGTGCTTCACCAATTTCAAAGACCCCGGGACTTTAAAGCCAAATTAGCTCTGCAAGAGAGAGAAAACTATGTTATGTCTCTCCAGTCACTCTCTGCCAGTCAAGTACCCATCTCGTGATCCATTACACAGAACAGGCTCCCTGCACCCCTGCCACTTTTCCTACTTTATCCTTACTCCACCTGCCCCTAATTCCCGCAGCCCACTTCCCTCTCTCCATCATCAATCTCCCAGACATCTTCAGGGTCTTGCTTAGTTTCCCCTGTCCTGCACAAGTAGTTCCACTGTTGCTTTGTACCACATCAAGAATCAGGGATGAGTGGGAGAAGACAAGCCAGTCAACCATAGGGATGTTGTTTTTGATGGCCTGCAGAGGGCGCCCAAGCTGTCTGACGTGCTGCTTGAGTTTTTTCAAAGTTGTAGGTATATCTAAATGTGCCTAGTTCTTATAAGCTTTCAACATATGTTGTAAACAGTGAGTTGGCTAAGTTATGCTAAAAATAATTAGTGAAATAATAAAGATTAAAATATTCAAGATGGAACTTTCAGCACTCGAAAAATATAGAAATCAGGCCATAAAACTTAAATTATTAATTTTTGTGCACGTGTAAAAACGAGATATTATCATCACTTACTTTATTAGCCTGAATCAAATGAAAATCCTTTCCATAAGCCTTCAAACCTTGTTCAAAGTTTCTACATTCTTCCTCTGTCCAAACAGACAATTCCTCTGATAAAAACGAGGAGAGAAAAGTGCTTAGCAATATTTTTCCAGATGTTACGGTTAACAATTACAAATAAATATGAGACTATCTAGTAAAAAAAAGAGAGAAGCATTTCATACCTGAGTTCTATTTCTGATCACTACAAAAGGTAAAGTGACAAATATTCCTGAATAGCGGATTTATTAAAATAAAAACAGCTAATTTAATAATTTAACAGCTAATAAATAAACTGGTTCCTATTTCTACACTTCCGCATGAGCTACTTTCTCTCTCTCTCTTTTGGGTGTTCCAAGTATACTAGCTAGCCACCTTTCAATTCATTTTATTTGTTATGTTGGTCTTCAGATCTTGTTCATGCTGCTCACTTTGCCTAGAATTATTTCTTGACTACCTTACGCTACCCTTCATCTAGCTCAGCGGTTCTCAACCTTCCTAATGCCACGACCCTTTAATACAGTTCCTCGTATTGTGGTGACCCCCCAACCATAAAATTATTTTCACTGCTACTTCATAACTTAATTTTGCTACTGTTATAGGTTGGGCAACCCCTGTGAAAGGGCCGTCCAACCCCCCCCC